TTGATCTTCACAGGTAGGACTTGTTTTTAGGTGACTTCAGCCAACAGCTTGCAAATTTGGAAAGGCTCTAGTCTCCAGTGAATTGGGATGCAGAAATAAATTAAACCTTGAGAGAAATCATTAGGAATAGTGAAAGGGACCAAGTTGTAATGTTCTGGTAAATTCTTCCAGTGTAGTAGAGGTAAAATGACAATTAAGCTGGAGGATTACACGTTAGGACTGTGAGGTTGGGTCAGAAGGGGCTTGTGACGTGGTTGGCAGCAGTGACTGAAGAGAGTCACTGCAGGAAACCCACCTGATGCTTTGTGTGCACACAGCATTGCACAGGCTCTAAATTCTGCCTAAAAATGTAAACTTAGCTTTGAGAAGGTGTAAGCAAATCTTTGCCAGCTCTGCAGCCCTTTGTCCCAAACAAGGGGGAGACTAGCTCAATCTCTTGGGTAGATGGTGGGGGAGAAACTGCCCATGAGCTGCAGTGTGAGCTCAGCCCAGAGACCAAGCCAGGCCTGGGCTGAGCCACAGGAGTGTGGGCAGCAGGGCAAGGGAGGTGATTCTGCCCCTCTGCTCTGCTCTGGGAGACCCACCTGGAATCCTGCACACAGCTCTGGGGCCTCAGCCTGAGAAGGACATGGAAGTGTTGGAGCAAGTGCAGAGGAGGCCACAGAGCTGCTCAGAGCACTGGAGCATCTCCCTGTGAGCACAGGCTGAGGGAGTTGGGGCTGTTGAGCCTGGAGAAGAGAAGGTTGTGTGGAGAGCTCAGAGCACCTTGCAGGAGCTGAAGGGGCTCCAGGGAAGCTGCAGAGGGATCTGTGTTAGGAGCTGCAGGGACAGCACAAGGGGCAATGGGCACAAATGGAAGGAGGGAAATTGAGGTTGGATGTTAGGCAGAAGTTTTGCCTGTTGTGGTGGTGAGACCCTGTCCCAGGGTGCCCAGGGAGGCTGTGGCTGCCCCAACCCTGGCAGTGTTCACAGCCAGGTTGGCTGAGCCTTGAGCAACCTGCTCTGGTGGGAGGTGTCCCTGCCCAGGGCAGGGCTTGGGGCTGGCTGAGCTCTCAGCTCCATTCCAACCCCTAAAAATCCTATGAATCTACCCAAAGCTGACTGGGAGTTAACCACTGTGAGATATGCAAGTAAAACTAGTCATGCAATGCAAAGAGACTTGTGGTTTGGTTTGGTTTCTGTAACCTACAAGGTGCTAGGGGAAATTGTGTCTGCAAATCACCCTTGGCATTTGTGTGTGTGTGAGAACCAGCTCTGCCCTCCCCTGTGCTGGGTCAGCATGGCAAACCACAGAGAACAGCCCCAGAGCTGAGACAATTTGCAGTTCAGGGTCTCAGATCTGGGTAAGAGCTCTGGGTGCTGCAGAGCAGGTGATTTCTCTCTGTCTGTTCAGGTGAGCTGGACATTGAGGTTGTCTCCCGCTACCTCCAGCGGATGAAGAGAGTTTACCCTGCGGTTGAAGGTCGAATCAAGTTCTCTTCTGGGTCTCTTCTTGAAGCAAGTCTCACTCTGATCTCTGCACTGGCCACTCTGGCACTCCTGTGGACTTGATCTCAGCCTTCCTTTGGAGAGAGGCAGCAGGAGCTGATGCCAGTGAAGGGAACTGTTCTCGCAGGGCCTGAGCTCTGTGCAGGGCCAGGGCAGAATTCACCACTGCTCTTGGCCTGGCTCAGCAGGGACCTGCACCTCAGCTTGAGGCTTCCAGCCCCAAAGTCCCCATGAGCACTTACTGCTCAGCCACAAAACAAAGCCAGATGAAATGGGATGTTTCACCTTCTCAGATTCTTCTAGCTGCTTCAGTGAGCTGAGACTCCAGTGCTGCAGCCAAGCTCCTAGGAATGGGTTTAGCCCAGGTTTGTATACCTTGCTCAGGGTTGAAGCTCTCAGTCTAACATTTCTGCTTTGCGCCCATCGTGTTTCTCATACCTCCAGCAGTGCCTGGCCAGGCTGCACTCCCCCAGGGCTGTCTGACCGTGGGCTCCATGCAACATGCAACTTGAAAGGGTTTCTGTTTCACCTGTGAAGATGCAGCAGCTCACTCCTGCCCTCCATTAATAAAGGATGCAATGAAAGCCTGGCTTGATCTTGGTCAGTTTTAAGAAATTGAGTCTATATTCTTCATTCTTTAAAGTGACCAGGTTGGGGAATGGATCCAGAGCAAGGACACATCTGTGGTTCAGAGAAAACAGGCTCAACTTTGTACCTTTTCCATAGAACAAAGCACAGGATCCTGCCTGGGACTCTGTCAGCAGTGGTCCACAGAACCCTGAGGTTGGAAGGGACCACAGTGGGTCACTGGTCCCTCCCCCTACTCCAGCAGGGCCAGCCTAGAGCTCATGGCTCAGGGCTGTGTCCAGAGGGGTCTGGAATATCTGCAGGGAGGAGAATCCACGACCTCTCTGGGCAATCTGTTCAGTGCTCAGGGACTGCACAGCAAAGAAGTTCTTCCTCCTGTTCAGGTGGAACTTCCTGGGCATCAGTTTGTGCTGTTCCCTCTTGTTTGATTGGTTTCCCCACTGAGCAGAGTCTGATCATCCTCTTGGCACCTCCTGTTCATGGACTTGAATCCATTCCTGAGGTCCCTCTGAGTTGTCTCTTCTGGAGGCTGAACAGCCCCAACTCCCTCAGCCTTTGCTCATCCCTGAGGTGCTCCAGTGCCTTCAGCATCTTCCTTGCCCTGCCCTGGCCCTGCTGCAGGAGCTCCATGTCCCTCTGGCCCTGAGGATCCAGAACTGGACACAGCACTCTGGCCCTGCTGCAGGAGCTCCGTGTCCCTCTTGTTTGTCAGATCCAGGCCTTGCCCCCTGCAGCACTGTGGAATCCCTAGGAAGAGCCACACACTGTGGATTATGATAACTGATGACACCTCTCTTCCTTGGGAAGGCTGGTTAAAAACACAGTGGTGAGAGTTTGGCTAGTGAGATCAGGTTAAGTGCCAAGTGAACATCTCTGATGATTTATCAGGACCTGAGTGGTATCAATTAGTGCAGTCATTGTACTAAGATCCCTCACACTGGGAACAACACACCATGTTGTTTGCTGCTGCTTTAAGCTGCTGCTCAGTGCTTTTAATAAACCAGCTCTGCTCTCCTGCAAGGCTCCCTGCACTCTTGTGTCAAACCCAAAGCCTTCAACCCCCTGCACCTGCAGCTCTCGAGAAGGTGGATGAAGATGAACATCCAGCATGGTTAGACTTCCAGCACTGGTTGGTTCCCACATCCACTTAAGGGCTGAGCATGAAAACTCAGGACCACACAAAGTAACACAGATGACAAACTTTGCACAGACAGAGAACATCAGTGCTGCTTTGGCTGGTTTCTAACAGAAGAAGAAAACGAGTGTTACCTGAAGGGAAAAACTGACTGATGCCTACTAAAAGGATCTCTGGATCTTTTTCGTGAGTGAAACTTGCTAAAAACCCACATAGCAAAGTCTTTTTCAGTCTCTTTTGTAAAGGCTGGGCCAACACATTAAGCTTCACAGGATAAATCTCTCACACTCTGACATGAAGATGCTGTGAACAGACACAGCCTCTTTTCTGAGCCTGCAAAGAGGACGTCAGAAAAACCCAACAAACCCAGAGAAGAAAGTGCAAAAAAATCCAGCCTGAGGTAAAGGTCAAAACCACTTCTTGCACCCATTACTATTTTAAAAGGTCAGGCTCTGACACCAAATTGCACAGATATTTTCCACGCTCACAGACAGCCATGAAGGCCAAGCAGAGCTCTGAGATGGTTTGTGTGCAACAGATTCAATCACACAGTTAAGGGGTAAGAGTTGTACCAGCTAAACATACCTTGATGGGAATGTTCCAGGGCTGATTCCAGACCAGTGTCTGTACCAGCTAAACATACCTTGATGGGAGTGTTCCAGGGCTGATTCCAGACACAGCCTCGGCACAAAACATCCAGGAACTGCTGTCAGTTGGCTGCCCTGACAGCTCTACGCAGCGTCATCCTGTCACTTCAGACAGACTGTGGTGAAATTAATTTGACCTTACTGGCAACAGTAAAACAACTCTTAAATACAAAGCACAGATGTTCTAGTTACTTGCCACTGGGATTCAATTTTAATGTCTTTATTGCATAAAGAGAGTTTTTAGAACTTAACTTTTGTGTTATTTACAACAAAATATACAAGGCAAGGCTCAAGTGTCGTGTGGCCATCCCAGCAGGGCAGAGCAGAGCAGAGGCCACTGGGTCCTGCAAGGTCCTTCACTCACATCCAGCTTGACCCACAGCTCAGTTCCTTCGGCCCCTGCAGAACAGCGAGGGAGAAAAACACCTAGTCAGGCTGGAAATGCATCTCTGCATGGAAATGACTGAACTGAGCTGCAGTGACTGATGGGGATTGGAAACATCACTTGAAACCAGAGCTAGGAGGGAGGAAGGAAGGACAGGTGGTTCAACACTGTGAAACCAGAGCTAGGAGGGAGGAAGGACAGGTGGTTCAACACTGTCTCAAAACATGGTTCATAGCACCACAGAACCATCGAGGCTGGAGGAGATCTCTAAGGGCATTGAGTCCAACCATGAACCTGTCCCTGCTGGAACCCCCAAACCCTAACCCAGATCCTGCAGTGCCACATCAGACACCTCTGAAACACCTCCAGGGATGGTGACTGCACCACCTCCCTGGGCAATATCCCAGGGCCTCAACACCACAACAGGGAAAACATTTCTCCTCACATCCAATCTGACTCTGCCCTGGCTCAGCTCAAGGCCATTCCCTCTCTCCTCTCCCTCAGCCCTGGCAGGACACACATCCCACACCTCTCTCCAGCCCTGGCAGGAGTTGCAGAGAGCCAGGAGGTCACCCCTGAGCCTCTTCTCCAGGCTGACCAACCCAACTCCCTCAGCCCTTGCCCATGTGCTCTGCCCTTTGCTGCCCTCGTTGCCCTTGGCTGGACTCGCTCAGTGCCTCAATGGCCTTTGTGAATAATCCAGATTTTCTTGAGTTCAGTATACTGGAAAAATACAGATTTCTCAGAAAATTTCAAGCTAGTACTACATGGGAACAACAGCAAACATGCCCCAGTGACCAGACTCAACAGCAGCCTGAAGAACTGCAGCTCTGGAACAGTTAGCATATACCTTACTCAGCTCTGGGAAGAGTTCTTGAATCCCAATGTCCAGCAGAACATAAGTTAACTGAGGGAAAAACAAAGAAAATTCAGGGCACTCCAAGGCAACTGTGCTGCTTTTTACCTCTAGCTGAATGAGAGCTCCCTGCTCTGCCAGACCCAGCTCTGCAGGCAGCCAGGAGGGCTCACACCACTTACCTGTTTGTTGAGCACTGGCTGCTGCATCCCATCAAACAGGAGCCTGATGCCTTCGTATTTGGCCTCTTCCCCAATGCACTTGCCAACCAAATCTAGACCAAATTCCAAGCACAGATACACAGGTCACGAGGAAGCACCACAGAGCAGCTCTGCAGTGCAGGCACAGAGCCAGAGAGGGGGAAAAGCTGAATTTGAAACAGAGATCAGATTTTATCCCCCCCAGTGGGAAACAGAAAAACAAACACTCTTTGGTTCATCCTTTTTCTTCCAGGACTGCACACCCAAGTAACTACTGCCTGTGCTAATGCACTGTTTGACAAACCACTGCACTCTGTACCCTACCAGTGCACTGTCCTAATGCATCATCTCATCAACCACAAGCAAGCTCTGAGTTTGTGAGCAGCCTGGGAAATGGGACCCCCTTCCAGCCCACTCAGTGCCAGCAGAGCTCAGCTGGGCCTCCAGCTCCAGGGTGTGCCTTCCCTAACCCAGAGCTCCTCCGGATGGAAGAAAACCACAGGAGCATCCCAAGATTCAAGAATTATGCCATTAACTGCATCTACAAAGCTCTTGATTTCCATCAGGTCTTTCCTAATCACTGTGCCACCACCTCAGCCAGCACCACTTGGGTGGCACAGCTGAGCTCCTGTGCTTTCACCCCGACACCCACTCAGCTCCAGTGCGAGGGTATCGGGTGCAGCCCCAGGAGTAACGGGTATGGAAAGCTGATGTGATGCATTTGGGTTCTGTATCTGCCAAACAACTCACCACACAATGCAGCCAGCCACGGAATAGGGAAATACCTGGAATGTATCTCATCATTTCCTCAAAGGTCTTCTTGGCTCTCTTCTGTTTGTCCTGCAGCGAGCGAGGCTCGGTGTTCTCGCAGAACACGGCGTCTGCAGAGAGACACCAGACAACACTCAGCTCTGCAGACTGGCAGGGAAGAGGGGATGGGGCTTCAAACTGAGCTCCTTCTCTGCAGGACCTTCCACTCACTGCCCAAAGGCCATTGAGGCACTGAGCGAGTCCAGCCAAGGGCAACGAGGGCAGCAAAGGGCAGAGCACATGGGCAAGGGCTGAGGGAGTTGGGTTGGTCAGCCTGGAGAAGAATCAACTCAGAGGGACCTCAGGAATGGATTCAAGTCCATGAACAGGAGGTGCCCAGAGGATGATCAGACTCTGCTCAGTGGGGAAACCAATCAAACAAGAGGGAACAGCACAAACTGATGC